TCTACTCCACCATATTCTCTAAAAGTCAGACCTACATTTTTTTTTACATATTAAAATCTGCCCTTCAGAATTGACCTTATTGGCCTGGGGAGATGTCTTGGTAAGAACACTAATTGCACAAACATGAGGACCTGAGTAAGTCTTAGGCACTCAACATAAAAAGCTGGACATAGCATTCACATCTGTAACCCCAGCGTTGTGGATCACTAGGGTTGGCTGCCACCCTGCTTCCAAGTTCCTGAGAGACTCTGTCTTGGACATGAGACATAGAGTGATTCAGCAGGACACTTGATATTTTCCTCTGCCTTCCATGTGTGTACCTACATACACATGTGCATACATATTCACACACTTAAAGCAGAGCTGCCCTGCCTCCAACTTCTTCACTGTTTTGGAGGGGTTGAATGGGGGGGTGCTAAGTAGCTTTTCCTTGCTCAGGTGATTCAGAATAACCTACATAACTTTTATAAAGTTCATGTTTAGGGCTGGGGATGTAGCTAAGGTGGTAGAGTACTTGTCTAGCATATACAAGGTCCTGGGTTAAACTTCCAACACAGCATAAAGTGGGCATGGTGGGGCATGCCTGCAATCTTAGCTTATAGAGAATGGAAGAATCAGAAGTCATTTAACTACATAGCAAGGTCAAAGCCAGCTTGAACTACAATCCTTAGGGAGTCATGGGGCCTCATGAGCTCTCCCACTATGGCAGGTTGATGGCCCCAATCTTGTACCATAATCACAACTGCTGTGGGCTCAAGAGTGTAGTGGCTGTGTCATGCCCAGCAGAGAACATTCCAAAACTTATTTTCTTTCTTGTGGTTCTTACATTCTTTAAACTCCCTGAGCCTTGGGGTAGGTGACTGTAGATGTCCCACTTATGGCTGAGCATGCAGCAGGTACTCTGGTCACTCTGACCAGTTGTGAGTCTGCAATTACTGCTGCCCACTGCAGCAGAAGTTTCTCAGGCCAAAATTGACAGCTTTTGGACGCAAGCCTAGTTATTTAGAAGGCAAATTGATGGGCATATCGTATAGATGGGCATATCATATCTGTTTAGTAAAACAACAGCAGTAGCTCCCTCACCAGGGCCAATGACTTCCATAGTCTCAGCTTTTGACCAGATTAAATGAGACCAGAAGTGAATTCCCCCCAGTGGAGTGGGTCTCAATATCAGCCAGAATGAAATTGGTTGCCCCCATAACAGATGTACCTCTCTTGTACTTGTGGGGCATGCTCTGCTTAACAGGTTGATAATATACCATGCAAGATCCACCTCAGAGTAAGACTGCTGGTGAGAATTCTCCCCCAGCAGCCTGCATAGCCTGTTCTGGCACTATGAAGGTTAGCCCTCAGGGAGGAAGCTTTTTTTTTTTTTAAATCTCAGTTCCACTTTGATTTCTCTATGACCTACAACCAGATCATGTGGTGTCTTCAGCAATATGGCTATCTAGTCCTGGTGAACAGTCAGCCACTGTGACAGTTGCCTATATTATTTGGTGTTCTCCGATCTTCCTGACCAACAACATGGTGTGGGGCGGGGGAGGTTTGGGGGCCAGGGAGTCACTGGGCTCTTCATTTAATGACCTATGGCCTCTGGGGGTCAGATTATCCACCTGTGCAGGATACCACAGTTCAACCCCTTATTTTTAAATGAGTTTACCAAGGATCAGCTTTCCTTGAGAAACTTTTCATAGATCCTTTGTTTTGACTGACCTCCCCGGCAACCCTCTGCTCTGTTTCCTTATTTCCTTAAAACCTTCCTGCTCCCTAGTGTTTCCCTGCCACCCTCATAGCACATGTATTCTAATACTGCCCTTCTGAGATTCCTTGTTATTTATTTTTGAATTTCATTTATCTTTTGAGGCAGGAACTTGTTTTGCAGCCCTAGCTGGTTTAGAATTTGCTTTGTAGATCTGCCTGTCTCTTGCTTCCCAAGCTTTGGGATTAAAGGCCTATGCTACCATGCCTGGCTGAAATTGCTTTTGATCATCAAATAATTTCATTAATAAGAGTATTGGAAATTAGAACCAGGTTTTTGAGAATAGGGAGAAGCATTATAGAGGTGAAAAACCTTCAACATCCTTAGCTATTGGCAAAATGCACTTATAACCGCTTTGAGATTCCATCTCCTCCCAGTCAGAATGGCTATCATCAAGGAAGCAAATGATGGAGCTGGAGAGATTGCTCAGGGATTTATGAGCACTGGCTGTGCTCTTCTGAGGATCCAGGTTCAAGTCCCAGCCCCCACATGGCAGCTCACAACTGTAACTCCAGTTCCAGAGGATCTGACATCTTTTTCTGACCTCCACGGTGCTAGGCACAGACATACATACAGGCAAAACACTCATACACATAAAATAAAATTAAAGAATGAAAGAAAGACAAGTAACAAATGCTGGCAAGGATGTGGGGACAGGGCCAGTGGAAATGGGAACTTGTGCATCAGTTATGGAAATTCCTCAAAAAGCTAAGACTACTACTTAATAGTCAGGCAATGAAGGCAGCTTAGATGACTATCAACAGGTAGCCAATCTAGAAAGTGACCCACAGAATTTTATTCTTGAAATCAAGACATTTGCAGGAAAATGGATGCATCTGAAAATCATGTTAATTGTAATAAACCAGATTCAAAGACATCCACATTTTCTCTCCTATGGAACCTACATTCAAAAATCTCTCCCCTTCCTTCCGTCCCTCCCTCTCTCCTGTTTGTTTACATATATTCATATATGTGAATGGCAGTCACATAACTAGAAAGAGGATCATGAGAGGAGATGAAGATATCGGAGGGAAATGGAATACGAGTAATACAGCATAACTTGGGACTAACTAGGAGAAGAAAGGGAACCCAACTGGAGGGTACTGGGCGTGGGAGAGGATGGGGGAGAGGGAATGAGTGAGAACAAAGTATAATGAGGTATGTGAAGATGCTGTGATGAAACTCATTACATTGTGTGCCAAATTAAAATAGTAATAAGGGGGAAAACCTGTACCTGTACCGATACTTAATGAAACAAAAACAAGTTACTTTTATATTTTCCTCCCTTCTCTCTCCTTTTTGGCCTTCTGGTAATTGTTTTCAATTACCAGACTGAAAAGGTACCTGGCTGACATTGAGCTCTTTATCTTATTTGTGAAGCATTAAAGAAGAAATGCCTTCAATTCAGAACTGAATGCTTAGGAAGCCTCACAATAAAAGTCATGAAAGTTGTCTCTTCCTAAGTCATTTTTGAAAGTTAGATGAAGTATTATATGAGAAGTTTATTGTCTAGTGTTGAGAGAGTGTTTCCCGAATCCTTCAGTGTTTGTACAACTGTACTCAGGTATTTTCAGTTTCTTTCTAGTGAAATCACTTCCTTTGCAATTATTCTTTAATGTAGCGCTCTCTGTTTCTCTCTCTGTCTCTCTCTGTCTCTCTCTGTCTCTCTCTGTCTCTCTGTCTCTCTCTCTCTCTCTCTCTCTCTCTCTCTCTCTCTCTCTCTCTCTCTCTGTCTCTCTCACGATTCTCCTGCCTTTGTTTCTTGAGTGCTGGGTTTAAAGGTATGTTCTACCATCCCTGACCCACAACTGTTGTTCTTAGTGAAGATAAATCAATAGGACCAATCAAAAACTAAAAATTTGGGATTCATGAAAATAATTTCTATTTTTGGAGTTGGTAGATTCTGTAGTTTTCTAGTTTCTTAGCATATACTTACTTCCCTGAGGTATACATGATGAAATGGTTCTTGTAATCAGTCATCTCACATTGTTACCTTGAAGTGTACATCAAGAGCATATGACGTCTACTTTCACAGAAGACTTTTTGCACAATAATTGCTAGCCCTGTGTTGTATTAGATCAGGAGATTTCATCATCCTAAATCACTGCACTGTTGTGCCCTTTGACCTATGGCTTCCTATCTTCTTTCTCCTTCCCATTTCCTGAAAACTACCATTCTCTGTTTCTCTCTGTGTTTGTTTAATTAGATTGTATTTGTAAGTAAATTCATACAGTATTCAACTTCCAGTGCTTGCTTTTTTTTTTCCTTAGCCAGACATCTCCCAGATTTATCTGTTCATTTATGTTCGACAAATAGCAAGATTTATTTGGGAAATCTCTTAGTTATGTCTGTATCTTGGCTAAGGTGAGAGATGCTGCAGTGAGCATAGGCTATCTTCACAAGGAGCTTATTGCATTTACTTTGGTTATGTACCACAAAAATGGAATTGCTGGATCATGTCGTGTAGAAGTTGTATTTTTAAATTTTTGAGAAAGCTCTCTATCATTTCAGTAATGGCCGCACAGGTCCTCCCAGCAGCATTCTCTGTTCTCCACACCCATGTCAACACTTGTTGCTGCTTGTCTTTTTATAGCTATCCTAACAGGTGCATGGTGGTATCTTTCTGGGGTTTTAATTAGCTTTTCCCTGATGGTTAGTGAGGTATTTGAATGTCTAAGTATGTGTGTTTGTCATTTTTCCATTGAAGGAGGGTGGTGCTTAATTCTTTGGCCACTTTTGAAATTAGTTTATTTTGTTTTTACTCTCAAGTTATGAATATTCCTCATGTGCCTTGAATAGTAACTCCTCAGTTTTACGTTTTAAGATGAATTGCTGGGCTTTTCTGTGTTAGCACACAGTTTCCAAGTTTTCTGATGTCACTTCCACCTGGTTGTTCTGAAGGAGAAACTTGCTAAGGACTCAGTGACTAACATGAGTGTTCTGGGCAGATATTTCTAAACTACTTGGAATCCAGAAGGGTTAACAAATATTCTAGAAGATTCAAGCGTTTTCAGACTTAGTAATTTTACTTTAAGAATTAGTCATAATGCTGGGTGTAGTGGCTCGTACTTGGGATCCCAGCATTGGGGAAGCTGAGGCAGGAAGATTCCAGTGAGTTGAGGCAGCCTGGACTATATAATGAGTTCTAGGCTAGCTTGCATTACAGAGTTAGACCATCTCAAAACTAAAACAACAAAAGCGTGCTTCTCAGGTGACCCTTTCACTCTCTGTCCTTTTCCAGCGTCCTGAGGTTAGCATTATACTTCTCCAGTGGAGCCCATGACTTCTGATCAGGACACTAAAGTTGTGGCTGAACCGCAGGCACAGCGAGTCCAGGAGGGCAAGGATAGCTCTCATCTGGTAGGTGTTGTGGGGGGTGGGGGGGGAGAGGCCACGGGCATCCATTTCTTTTTCTGATCTAGAACTCTACATTGGATGTAAGAAGATTGTTAGAACAAGTGTATCAAATAATAACAGTTTTACAGAGGCAAAAGGACTTCTTATTTATCCAGTGTTCCTGACTGAGATCCCTACATTAAGAGAAACACATTTGCCAGTGGCGCACGCCTTTAATCCCAGCACTCGGGAGGCAGAGCCAGGTGGATCTCTTGTGAGTTCGAGGCCAGCCTGGGCTACCAAGTGAGTTCCAGGAAAGGCACCAAAGCTACACAGAGAAACCCTGTCTCGAAAAACAACAACAAAGAGAGAGACAGACAGACAGACAGACAGGCAGACAGAGACAGAGACAGACACATTTATTTAGCAGTTAGAGGTAACCTACAGAGCAAACTGTGCTCCATCTGATAACAGAAGCACACTTGTACAAAGATGGTGTTATACGATGGTATTAACAGGAACTTAGGCCTGCTCAGGTTTGTCTTGGCATCTGTGTGTGACATTGCTGTCTCTAGTAAGAGACTGGACACCCTCTGGAATGAGGGCCTTGCGACCTATTTTCAAAGGAAAGTCAGCTTGTTTTATGTTGTACTTAAGAAAGTAGTGAAAGATATTTTGCAACTCCCTCAAATAGCAAGCTCTAATATTTCAGACTGAGCCCTGTCCTTCTGAAACTGCAGCTTTAGTAGCAGAAACAAAGTACTGGGTCAGTAGTTCTCAGCCTTCCTAAAGCTGCGACCCTTTAATAATCCTCATGTTGTGGTGACCCCCAACCATAAAATTTTTTCATTGCTACTTCATAACTATAATTTTGCTGCTATTATGAATCATGGATATGGCACCCCAAAGGGATCATGAATCACAGGTTGAGAACAACTGTACTATTAGGTGATACAGAAAACAAAAGACGCCTGTGACTTTAGGTACTTAAAGCTTTTATCAAGAAAATGCAATTTGGGGCCAGTAAGTGAGTAAAAACAGTTGTCACATAAGCCCGACAATCTGAATTAGATTCCCATATTCCACAGTGGAAGGAGAGAAGCAATTCGTGAAAGTTGTTCTTTCATAAGCACACTGTGACACCCACCCACCCCCACACATGGTGTAAATATATCTTAACATACAAATAATAATAAATAATAAAAGAAAATGTGGACTGTAGACATGGCTCCATAATTAAGATTACTTGTTGCCCTTGCAGGGTACCTGGGTTTGGTTCCCAGCATCCACATCATGACTTAAAACCATCTATAACTCCAGTTCCAAGGGATCTGACCCATCTTCTGACTTCCATTGGTACCAGGCATGCATGTGGTACATAGACATCCTTGCATGCAAATCACCTAGATGCACATAAAATATCTTTAAAACTAAACAGCTTACTAACGTCACAGGAATTATAGTAAAGTATATTTGAAGAGTTAATTAGGATTTTATTATACTTTTTGTTTTGGCTACCTTTGAATTTTAATCCTGGACTAGAAAGATGGATCAATGTTTAAGAGTCCCCAGCACCCACCCTAGGTAGCTCATAGCCTCTTGTAACTGCAGCTTCAGGCCATCCAGTGGCCCCTGAGGGCACCTGCACACAAGTGCAAATACATACATGAGTGTATATATAAATAATCAGTCTTTTAAAGCTTAATCTTAGCTGGGTGGTGATGGCACACACCTTTGATCCCAGCACTCAGGAGGCAGAGGCAGGTGAATTCAATCTCTGTGAATTTGAGGCCAGCCTGGTGGTCTACAGAGTGAGTTCCAGTACACCTAGGGCTACACAGAGAAACCCTGTCTCAAAAAACCTAAACAAAAATAAAAACAAAAACAAAAAGGAATTGAATCCTGTGAAGCAGTAATATTTGAAGTTTCTAAATAGTATTGGGAAAAGTAGTTTTTTAAAATCACCCCAGTTGAAACTACCAGAAATTTACCTAAAACTTCAAAAATTATACATTTCAAGGCTCTTCTGTTCCTGAATATACTTATTCATAAATTTCCTTTGCTGTGTAAAAACATGCATTTTTTTAAAAAAAATGTGTTTGGTTTTACTTAATTACTATGGTTTGAAATTATGTTTTCTTTATGTTAGAATGATGGAGTTTTTGATGCTTTCAATTTTACAGATGAATGGTCCTATATCGCAAACCACTTCTCAAACAAGCTCCATCCCAGCTTTGACTCAGGTAATTCATTTTCTAGATTGATCACAGATTGTCTAGCCACAGCCAAGAGTGCCAGATATGGCATGATCCCAAATATGTATTGTTAAAAAAAATTAGAAAAATGTAGATGTTTCTAAAAAGGAGGACTCATTTGACACTGTGCTCTTGAGTGTGTTATGTTGATATTGTCTCTTTTTCATGTGGAAGTGTCAGATATATTAATTTATTCTCAGGTATTCATGATAGTGTTCTCAGTTCGTCTGAATTCTGTTAATTGTGTGTGTATATGACTAGCTTTACATTTTGATGATTGCTTTTTAGAGTATGCAAGTCAAATTCTAAGTAATAAGAGAATAAGGAAACAGCTGAATATATAGATCTGTTGATGGAGGATTTGCCTCCCTTATAGGGAGAGATCCTCAGTACTGTATCAACTGGGTGTGTTTGCCAATGACTGTCATCCTAGCAGGAGAGGCAAGAAGCAAGGGTTCAGGTCTAAATCCTACTACCTTCCTGCAGCCAAGTTGCCTCAGTGTTATTAGCGGAACTACTTTGGCCTCAGGGCCATTTTCTGTTGTAATGATTCTGTTGCATTTCAACATAAATGAGCAAAGATGCTGTTTGAGAAAGATGTGTAAGGACAAGTAATACTAGTGGAAGTGCTTGTTTTTCTGGGTAGTGCCATGTCTTTTCTAATTGTGATATGGAAATTTGATTCTTCTTATGCACTAAACTGTAGACAACTCAGTAAAACCTGAATTATTTCATAATGATCTTAAGCATTTCATTACATTTAATTATTCCTTATATGTATATGTGCACACACATGTCTGCACATGTCATAGCATGTGTGTAGAGGTCAGAGGACAAATTAGGGGAGTCAGTTCTCTCCTTTCACAGTGTTAGTCCCAAGGACCAAACTTGGATTGTCAGGCTTGGCAGCCACTGCCTTTACCTACTAAGCCATCTTATTGGCCCAATTAGAAATAATCCTTTAAAACTACTTAAAGATAACAAGATAAGAGAACTTAACCAAAGGAACTGTCTTGGGATGTAGCTCAGTGGGAGAGTGCTTGCTTGGCTTATGCAAGGCTATGGTTTAACCTCCTGCACCCCACCCCACTCATCAGCAAATTAGGCCTTTTGATGATATTATTTCTGAGTGAATGTTTAGATTAATTACTACATGTCTGCATATTGAATAAGTAGGCTCACAGTCAGAAAGCTTGATGGTCTGAAAATAGCCAATACTTGCATTTGGTTTAAAAATGACAACTGCCTGCTTTTAGACCAGTATTTTACAGTTTAAATATTTTTAGCAGTATATAATGCTTTTAGGATAATTTTTTTTTTTTTTTTTTTTTTTTTTTTTTTTTTTTTTTTAATTTTTGGTTTTTTGAGACAGGGTTTCTCTGTCTTTTTCTTGTCTTTCTCTTTCTTGGCTGTCCTAGAACTCACTTTTTAGTCCGGGCTGGTCTCAGGCTCAGAGATCCACCTGCCTCTGCCTCATGAGTGCTGGGATTAAAGGCATGTGCCACCACGCCTGGCAAGATTAAACTTTTAAGTAGCTGTAGCATGTAAAATGTATTCTTATTATCGTGTGTGTGTGTGTGTGTGTGTGTGTGTGTGTGTGTGTGTGTGTGTGTGTGTGTGTGTGTAAGTAAGAGTGCAAGTGTACTTGTGCCGCAGCAAACGTGCAGGTCGTACGTTCCATCCAGGCATTGAACTCAAGTTCTCAGGTTTGCACAGCAAGCACCCTCGCCCACTGTGTTCCTTTGCAGTCTAGTAGCTGTAAATGCTGCAGTTACTGGTATTGTTTTCTTGAAAGAGAATTCTTCGGTGGCCACTGTCTTATGAAATATAATCCAGGAGATACTGAAACACTGAAAAAACAAAGGCTAGAAGTTTGAAATTTCTTCTGGCTATGCTTATAACTTGAGTTGTTTTTAAGAATTAAGTTTATGAAAATAAGAAAAAAGCCACATGTATATTTCTGCCCCCCTCCCCCTCGCTGCTGTTCTGCACCTTTACATTCCATGTGCCATTTGGATTTCAGCACAAGGAGTCTGATGAATGCCAGGCAGGGCTCTGTTGTCATTAGGATTTGGATTTGAGTGGCAGTAACATGTGACTGCTGTGCAAGGAGTTATTTTGGGTACTGTGTGTTGGCTTCTTTTCAGAAACGATAGCAAGTTAGTGTGAGTTGTATTTGTAGAAGCTCAGAAAAGGACAAGCATTGTGATGTGAATTTTTGAACTTTCAATATGGGCTGTTGCTTCAGCAAAGAATTAAGTAGTGACAATGACAATGAGAGAATTGGCCTGTTACAAAAATCTGTGGAAGAGAAGAAACCGGAGAACAAGATAAGTAAAACTTTATCTTCATTATTTGATACCCTTGAAGGTGAGGAGCTTCACAATGTTGAAAATGGACCCAGCCGAGCACCCGCTGGTGTCAATGTGTGGACTAGAGTTTTTACAAGGTCTGGGCACAAACAGGATCATAGATCAAAGCAGTCACTGAATTCTAATTCCTTTCCCACATATGAGTTCTTTCATGGATCTGAAAATTTAGATGAAGGTGACAAGAGTTTAGATAATGTTGTTATTGAAGAAAATTCTGAGATTGTCAGTGACCCACTGTGTGTGAGTCGTGATGGACAGGCTTGTTCTGAAGATGATCAGCCTTCCTCACATGTGCCCATGCCTTCTGACCAGCAGGAGGAAACTTTTGTAAGTGACCATCTGCAGTGTTACCTGGCCACTTGTAAAAACTCTTTAATAGAGAAAGAAAAAGTACTAAATGTTCAAATCAGTAGTTTTAATGAGAATAACTCTGTAGATTTTTCTGCTGGAGAGTTGCAAAGTAAAAGCCATATTTGTGTTGGTGACAAACACTGTAAGAATTCAAGGGAAAGCAAATTTTACAGTATTTGTGCTATAGATCTGGACTGCTTGAACATGGAAGAGGAACTGTACACTCCCATGTATGTAGCAGCTGCAGAAGAATATCATTCAGCTGTCACTTACGAAGTTTTCCAAGTGGATTGGCCCTTAGATAACGGGGAAGAATATGCCGCCTCAAATGCCGTAAAGAGGGCAGGAGAGTTAAAGCTGCAGCATGAAGAACTGTTACCCCAGGATGTCCTACGCCCCTGTGAAACAAATGAAGCATGTATCGAGAAAAGTGAATGTAGTTCTGATATTTTGGTGGACCGTGATCCATCTGATGAAGCAGACATCGGTGACCTGCACGGAATTTGTGCCAAATTCCCTAAAGATCACACAGAACATCGTACATTACATAATACTGGCCTACTCCCTGAATTAAATATTAACATAGGCAGTGACTCATTAAAGTGTTCAAGTGCTAGATCTGAAGAAAGAGAGAGCAGTGCTTCAGGAATAGGAAGTCAGGTGGATGATTCACTTGTTAATTTACTTAATGACATTTCATATGTTGATGGGAATGGTGAACCTGAGGCTATAACAGTTAGTGCTGGCCAAAGTTTAAACTCTAACGTCGAAAGAGAGCCTGACTCTGAAAAGTTATTAGAAGGCAATGATTATTTTCACATCAGTGTTAATAGGCCAGGTAGGATCCTTTCCTTTGGTCTAGATAAGATTAATTTAAGCCCCAAAAGGCTAGTTTCAGAGCGTTCAGGTAATGAGCATCTCCCAGTTCATGCTAATCTCAGAGAAGTTGCCTTGAGCAAACCTGCTGGCCCTCATCCTATACCCCAAGGGGAGCCAGTGCTAATGAAGGAGCATCACCTGGGGGATGGCAGTCTGGAAACTGGAAGTGTCCAGCGGGCAAACAGAGGTGAGATATTCTTGTGTTCTGAAAATGGTTCTGCTTATCAGGATGAAGCTAGAAGGAGCATTTTAGAGACCGAGAGCCATTGCAAGAGGGAGTTGGAATGTTGGTATCACACAGACCTCTGTGTAGGTAGTAGGGCAGACAAGGCTCAGACAGAGGCCCATGATTTAACTCAAGTGGAATGTGAACCAGGCACAGAAGGGGTGGTCCAGAAGACAGATGTGCTGAAGCTTGAACTTTCACAAAGAATACCAAGTGACAAGTCTCATGATCACTCCAGATCTCTTCAGGGCCCAGAAACACCCTCTGCATTCATTTTAACCTGTACTGATTCTGAAGCAAGGGAAACAGTTCTACATGATAACACAGGAGATAAAGGACACGTGAAGGGCTTAGTTGGTGCAGTATATAACCAATCTAGTGGGCCCTATGTACTAGAAAAGGCTGAAAAGGTACCACAGAAGGCTAATTATAGAGAGATCAGTGAGGAGGACATAGAAAAGTCAGATGCTAAAACAATCTTTCAGTGGGAAACAAGTGTTCTTAAATGTAAAGTCGTGCCCAGTGGGAACACGGTAACTTGTATTGGTTCTGACATAGCAACAGATCCTGTTTGTGAAACTAATGAGATTGAAAATAGTTACAAAACTGATGGAGTGAATGAATACCCAGACCTTACTGTTGTGCCCCCTTTAAACCACAGTCCAGTGTCACATGCCAAGGAGTGGGTTAATAGTGACAAAGGCCCAGAACTGCATTTCATTAACTCTGAATCAATTAAAGAAGTTTCTAATGCTGTTGGTAACAATGCATCAGAATTGAGCAAACAAAAACTAACATGCAAAGAAGAGAAAGAGAGACTTTGTTTGGATAAAGACAGTATTGATCCTGACAGCACTGACTGCTTAGGCCCACGTCACATGAAAAGAAGAAATGCCCAATCTACAGTTAAAGAATTCACTTTAAATGGAGAGAAACATTTTTCAGGAAACTCTGAGGCGACTTTAAGAAAAATAGCATTATGTGACACTTCTGAGGGGTGTTCCTCTTTTATTAATGTTGACTCAATACAAGTGGATATACCTGCAGCTACTCCTGGTAATGCTCCCCAGGCAATTCCTGCCATCCCAGCAGATAATAAAGAATGTGCAGTGCCAAGTGGTGACTGTGTTGCATCACCTACAGAGGACGTCTCAGATGTA